GTTATGAGACAAGGATGCCCACTATCCCCACTCCTATTCAACATGGTACTAGAATTCCTAGATGAGCAATTAGGCAAGAAGAAGGAATAAAAGGAATACAAATAGGTAAAGAAACTGTCAAAATTTCCCTATTTGCAGATGATATGATCCTATACCTTAAAGACCCAAAAACCTCTACCCAAAATTCCTAGACACCATCAACAGCTACAGCAAGGTGGCAGGATATAAAATCAACATACAAAAGTCATTAGCTTTTCTATACACTGATAACAAACAAACTGAGAAAGAATATATGAAAACAATTCCATTTACAATAGCCTCAAAAAAAATCAAATACCTAGGTGTAAATTTAACAAAGGATGTGAATGACCTCTACAAGGACAACTATAAACCCCTGAAGAAAGAAACTGAGGGAGACTACAGAAGGTGGAGAGATCTCCCAAGGTCATGGATTGGTAGAATCAACATAGTAAAAATGGCTATGCTACCAAAGGCAATCTACATGTTTAATGCAGTTCCCATCAAAATCCCAATGACATTCATCAAAGAGATTGAAAAAATCTACCCTAAAATTCATTTGGAAACACAAGAGACCACGAATAGCCAAGGCAATACTCAGCAAAAATAACAATGCAGGAGGTATCACAATACCTGACTTCAAACTATATCACAAAGCAACAGCAATAAAAACAGCATGGTACTGGCACAAAAACAGACATGAAGACCAGTGGAACAGAATAGAGGACCCAGATATGAAGCCACACAACTATAACCAACTTGTCTTTGACAAAGGTGCTAAAAATATACAATGGAGAAAAAACAGCCTCTTCAACAAAAGCTGTTGGGAAAACTGGTTAGCCGTCTGCAAAAAACTGAAACTAGAGCCATGTTTATCACCCTGTACTAGTATCAACTCAAAATGGATCAAGGACCTTAATATCAGACCCCAAACTCTAAAGCTGGTACAGGAAAGAGTAGGAAACACTTTGGAGATGATAGGTATAGGCAAGGACTTCCTCAACAGAACCCTAGCAGCTCAGCAACTAAGAGAAAGAATGTACAAATGGGACTTCATGAAATTAAAAAGCTCTGCACAACAAAAGAAATGGTCTCTAAACTGAAGAGACCACCCACAGAGTGGGAGAAAATATTTGCCAGCTACCATCATACAAAGGACTGATAACCGGAATATACAGGGAACTCAAAAAACTAAACTCTCCCAAAATTAATGAACCAATAAAGAAATGGGCAAGTGAACTAAACAGAACTTTCTCAAAAGAAGAAATTCAAATGGCCAAAAAACACATGAAAAAATGCTCACCATCTCTAGCCATAAAGGAAATGCAAATCAAAACCACACTAAGATTCCACCTCACTCCTGTTAGAATAGCCATCATTAGAAACACCACCAACAACAGGTGTTGGCGAGGATGTGGGAAAAAACGAACCCTTGTACACTGCTGGTGGGAATACAAACTAGTACAATCACTCTGGAAAAAACTTTGGAGGCTTCTTAAAAATCTAAACACAGATCTGCCATTATGATCCAGCAATCCCACTCCTGGGGATATACCCAAAGGAATGTGACACAGGTTACTCCAAAGGCACCTGCACACCCATGTTTATTGCGGCACTATTCACAATAGCCAAGTTATGGAAAGAGCCAAGATGCCCCACTTGACGAATGGATTAAGAAAATGTGGTATCTATACACAATGGAATTTTACTCAGCCATAAAGAAGAATTAAATCTTAGCATTTGCAAATAAATGGATGGAACTGGAGAACATCTTCCTGAGCGAGGTTAGAGGCTCAGAAGACCAAAAATTGTATGTTCTCCCTCATATGTGGACTTTAGATCAAGGGCAAATACAGCAAGGGGATTGGACTTTGGTCACATGATAAGGCGAGAGCACACAAGGGAGGTTATGAGGATAGGTAAGAAACCCAAAAAACATGATAGTATTTGATGTCCTCAATGCAAAGAAACTAATGCAGAAACTGTAAAGTGACAGTGGCCAATAGGAGAAGCCGATCAGGAACTAGAGAAAAGGTCAGTTCAAGAAGAATCAACTTAGAATGTAACACATATGTACATAAAAGCAATGCGAGGAATCTCCCTGTATAACTATCCTTATCTCAACTAACAAAAACCCTTTGTCCTTCTTATTATTGTTCATACTCTCTCTTCAACAAAATTAGAGATAAAGGCAAAACAGTTTCTGCCTGAAAGTGAGGGGGTGGGGAGGAGAGGTAGGGGGTGGAGGAAAAGGGAGGGGGGCGGGGAGGAGGGGGGAGAAATGCCCCAAACATTGCATGCACATATGAGTAAAGGGAAAAAAAACAACAAAAAAATACATGCGAGATCTCTAGATAGAAAACTATAAAACAGTACTGAAAAAATTTTAAAGAAACCCCAAATAAACAAAGGAATGGGTCATATTCCTGGATCAGAACACTCAATCTTATAAAGACGTCAAGTGTTAACTGACATATAGATTTAATGCAATCCCATTCTCAACAGCAGGAGCTTTTCTTTCAGAAATTGACAAGCTGATTCTAAAATACATATGGAAAAGGAAGAGCCAAGAATAGGCTGGAGGATTTACACTGCCAGATATCACAGCCTTCTGTAACACTTCAGTACTTAAGACTTAACCATAGGCACAAGGATAAACTGACCACGGAACTGAATAGAGTCCAGAAATAGACTCACATGTCTGTCACCTGGTTTATGATGGGATAATACTAAAGGTCAGTGAGGAAGGGATGGTATTTTTAATAAATGGTGCTAAGCCAATTGAAAAAAGGACATTATTATGTCTTCCTTACCAATACAGAAGATCAAGGTTACATGAATTGCAGATAAATGTGAATGGTAAAACAAGACTTTAAAAGGAATACATCATTGTGACCTTAGAACAGGCAAAGATTTCTAAATAGAACACAAAAAGCCCTAACTATAAAGGGGAGAAAATGATAAGCTCGACTACATTAAAATTATAAATGTCTATTTATTAAAAGAAAACACTGAGAGTTAAAAGTCATCCCATCAAGTGGGAGAAAATAAATAAATACTTGTTTACACATCACATAATCAAAGACTGGTGTCCAAACAAAGAACTTCTAGAAATTGAAGAAAGGCTTAAGCTGCCATACACTAATGTAAATTACTGCACTTTGTAAAATTGATTGGCAGTATCTTCTATGACCCGTGACTCTGACCCTGGGTAGACACTCAACAGAAATGTGTTCCTCTTTTTTTTTTTTTTTTTAAATCTGGATGCAGGTTACATGAAATTGTACATTTTCTGAAAAATTCATAGGACCGTATCCTTGGTACCTGGGTATTTTTGTGTTTTTAAATTATGCTTTGGTTAAAAAAAATTAAGTGAACAGCCTTGTAGAACACAATAATTTATATTTATGGTTCAGCAAAATTATAAATTATGACCTGTATTACTTGTACTTGAAATTCAGGTCTGTCCCAAATTGAAACCATGAATAATAAAATGAAAATATTCACCATATTTACTGCCTACTATAGAATGGTTCTTAAGATTGAAGTCTTTAGTGATAGATACCTGGAACTGAAACTCATCTCTGCCACTTACTGTGTGACATTGGGCAAATTATTCCACTTTTTTTGTGTGCCTCTATTTCCTCATGTGTAAAATGGAGATAGTAATAATGGCACCTACCATAAAGGCTGCTATGGGCATTCAGTAAGCAAACACGAGTAGAAGGTTTAGTGCAGTTTCTGGCACACTGTAAGCACTCTGTAAGTGCTGGCCATTTTTATTAACGTTAATGTTTGCTTAACAAATACATGGAGATCACTCTGCACGGCACAGAGCTGGTGTCCAGAGATGATAGAACCGAAGAAGATAAAATAATTAAGTCCTATGGATTTAAAGCCCTGGAGAGTTTAGGGCAACGACCCACACATACTACACAGTCCATAAGCGCTTGTTACTGCTGTCGCTGAGACGGTCACCCATTGTCCTTCCATTTAATTTACCCTAGAGACCACACTGGAGTTAGGGAGCCTACACTCCCTCGCATAAAGGTTTGATCTGACAGCTACAAAGAGCTTTAACAGCAATGGGCTGCGAATCTGAAGATGAGAAACTGGCAGGTCCATGAAAAACAAGTTAAAATAATGTGATCATGCAGTCCCTAAGGATAAGGTGGTGCTCCTAACCCACAGGAACAGAGCTAATGAATTAAAAAAAAAAAAATCAGTTTCTCAGATTGTTATTTAAAAAAAAACTAAAAGACCTTGGATGACCATGAATATTTTGGCAATGCATGTATTTTTTCTAAAGGAAGGAAGGTTACTTTTCAAAACGCAAAGTTTATCGAGTCTGACACCGATCCATTCTCAAATGTTCTTTTGACTCCTCAGCACACACCAAAACTAAACGAGACTCAGTTTCATTTGAATACACCATTGCCATGGTTTCAAAAAATTTGAAAAGCCCTTAGAATTCGTTTTTGAGAAGTGAAAGTTGACAGATTCCTAGAACCCCCTGATTCAATCAGCCACCAGCTCCTAGCGCTCTTTTGAAACGCTCTTATTACTATTCATGATTATGCCTTGTTTCTGGAAAGTTCACAAAATGAAAACCAGCCACTGAATAACGGGCCTCTTTCTTCTAACACCTGGTCATTTTGGATTGGCTCCATAAGTCTCACGGCGTCTCGGGAAGCCCCCTGCAGGTGGCGCGAATCCGCCGGCTCCTCGCGCGCAATTAGTGATCCACGCAGGGGAACCTGGAACATCTCCCTCCGAACCCACGCAGCATGCGGACAGACGCCTCCTGGCCACGCCCCCCGTGGCCACGCCCACAGATGCTCCGAGCCTGGCGGCCGCCGGGATCTCAAAGGCCGGAGGCGGGACTCACCCCTTGCCCCCGGGGTCTCCCGGGTTCCGCCAATCAGAGAGCGCCCTGTTGGCCATCCGCAGCCTTCTGCGCCCCTCCCACTCCCGCCGGCCTTCGCGTCCCAGAATCCAAGATGGCGGGATCCAGGCAGTTTGGTCCCCAGACCAGAGCTCGACAGCTCTTCTGCACCCTGCTGCTGTCGTTCAGTCGTTTCGTCGGGGGGGACGGCATGGGAGGCGACCCCTTGTCCGCCGGGGCCGCGGGCACCCCGGCCGAGCTGCCACATCGCCGCTTCGAGTACAAATACAGCTTCAAGGGGCCGCACCTGGTGCAGAGCGATGGAACCGTGCCCTTCTGGGCCCACGCGGGGAGTAAGCCCAGGCTGGGAGCGGGAGGGCCTGGGTCCCCTCTCCACCCATGCCGCTTCCTTCCTCCAGGGCCCTGCGGTGCTGAGGGTGCCGTTCTAGCCACAGCGCACCATATGTGCTGTGGCGAGGACCTCAGCATCCCACCTCCAACTCCTCCGGCCCGCAAGTGCCCCGCCTGCCCCGTGCTGACCACTCACCGCCCTTGACCTTCCCTTCCTCGATCTCGCCAGTATTTGCGTTCGATCTAGAGGTGTTTTGTGACTTCCTACACCCAGCACTCAAGCTCGCTGCTGGGTGTCACGTTTCACCCCGACGCCACGTCTCTAAGAGACACACTCCCCACCCCCAGCCATCCCAGCCCGACACCTCCTGCAGCCTCTGTTCTCCTGCTTTCTTTTCTCCTGGTGTTGTCCGTGGTTAGGTTTGTACTCCATTCCCCCGGACAACTCCAGAGGTGGCATAGATTGGGCTGGGAGTGCTTTTTAAGTCTTTGTCATTCTTCAGCTGTTGGAATTACACTTCGGTGACTTGGTGTGTGGTCTTTGATCTTTACATTATGTAACTTTATAGTGACACTCGTGCCTTTAAATAGGAGAAGGGACATGCTTCTTGGTATCGTTTCTGAATCTGAGACTTAAGAATAGCTTATCTTCTCTTTTTAAGAAACAAATTGGAGGGGGGAGTGAAGTAATTTGTGCTTCAAGATTCAATTACTCTGTTTAGGCACTCTTGTAGATGAAAGAGCCTTGCTGGAGCTCTTTTGAGAAGACAACATATCTGCACTTTTTAGTATGTGTCATCTGACTAAAAGAAATCAGCCATAGCACTTGTCATGCCATGAGCTCTGTGCAGTGACAATCAGATAAGTCCTGTGAAACAAGGAACATGCTTTTCTGTGTCAGGAGAAGCTGTAGTAATTTGAATATTATCCTTATGTGTGATTAAGCAGTCATTTATATAAGATTTGTGTATATCATTTTGGATTGTTCAGTGCTTGAAACAAAATGTGTCCTTACTAGAAAGTAATTACTAAGTAGGAAGCACACTTTTTAGGAAAGGCCAGTTCCCTCAAATTAATGTGTAATTATAAGGTGTAAATTTCAGTTTAATTTAATGACCAAGTCATTAAGTATTTGAAGCAGAGTGCAATTATGTTGCTCAGCAATCCTTTATTATAAGCCTGCTGGGCATTTTTTCCAAGATAACATTAATCTTAATACCCAAGATGATGCCAGACATGTTTTGGGATCTTTTGTTTCTGTTGCTCTTTCTGAAATGATGAAATTCAGTAGTGATGATGGATTTGCTCACACTTCTTTTCTGCACCTCTCTTTTGTTTGCCTGCTTTTCTGTATCTTACATTTACACATCAGCAATGCTGAAATTTTAGTGTTTGGCTCTTCTAAATTTGAAGTGAAGACAAGTATTTTCTCATGACTTAACCCTGTACTACTCTGGGATCACAGTTACAGACACACCTTGCTTTCCTTGTTACTGTCATTTTCATCTTAATGCCGTTATTCTTTTTTTTCCCCTTTTCATTTGGCCCTGTGATTCATTTAAAACAGAAATAGAAAAATTTAGGATTTAGCTAAGCAGCCCTTTACGTTCAGCTCCAAATTAGGATCAAATCTATGGTAGTTCTCTTTCTGAACTTTTTCATTTTTTTTTGTACATCATTACACATCCTTAGGTTCATAAAAGAAAACATAACATTTCTAACTCTGTAGCTCTCAAAGCTCTTTCACCTTCATACTCTGATTTGATATTTAGTAGGCAAAGCAGATGTTATCTATTTCATAGATGGAACAGCAGTGTTCAGAAAGGCTTAGGTTATTGGAAAAGGTTACATAGCCTGTAAGTGTCAGGACAACTGAACTCAATTTAGGTCTTCTGATTTTTTTTCTAGTACCCTTTCCATAATGCCCTCCCACAACCTCTGAGAGTTTGGAATTGATAACAGACTGAATTATGACACTATAGTAGTTCAACTTTCCTTTTTGTCAGTGTTTCCTACCTGTAAAGTGATTTTATAGTTGTTTTATTTCCTGGCATAAATGTCAGAATGGCTAATATCTGAGAGGATATGGTAGAATTGTTAAAATTTTATGCCTCATAGGTGCTTTGATAATTATATAGTCCAATAATAGGAGTACTGAAACATTTATAAGCATACCTGCTTTTATTGCACCTTGATTTATTGTACTTGCAGATATTGTGGTTTGTTGTTTTTTGAACAAGTTGGAGGTTTATGACAACCCTGTGTCCAGCAAGTTTTTGACACTGTTTTTTCAAGAGCTCCAGATGCTCTTTAGCTTTTTTAACAGTATTTTTATGTACAGCATATTGTTATTAGACATAATCCTCTTGTGCATTTAATAGACTACAGTGTAGTATAAATATATTTTATATGCACTGGGAAACCAAAATACTAGTGACTTGCTTTATTGTGGTTTGGAACCCAACCAGAAGTGTCTCCAAGGCATGCCTCTGTATGCATTTATATAATCACTTACATATCTATGAAGTTGTTAGAGAAATGGAATAACTTGCCCAACATCAAACAGTCAGTAAGTGGTGGCATTGGGACTTGAACATAGCCTAGAGTTGAAAACACTATCTGGGGTCCCTGTGTTCTCTGAGAATCTGCCAGTGTGTATTAAATTGAAATTCAAGGGCTGTGGGCATGGCTGAAGTGGTAGAGTATTTGCCTAGCCAGCATGAGGCCCTGAGTTCAAACTTTAGTATGCCAAAAAAGAAAATAATTGAAATTTAGTTGGCCCTCTCCCTAGAAAGATGTATATGTGAAGACTGTTTTGCATATAACTCTTGGGGTATTTATGGAAATGATCAAACCCAGCCCCTTCATTTTACAGGTGAACATATGCTGAATCCAAGAGGGTAAGAAAATTATTTATTCAAAGTCACAGCTGACCTGAGACTAGGAACAAGTCTCTTAATTCCTAGTGGTATGTTTTTTTCACAATGTTTGAGCTTTCTAACATGTAAACTGGCACATTGCAGGCTTTTAAATAATGTGCAAGTTTTTGAGGTATTTAAAAAAGAGAGTATGAACATCAAATAGACATTTTGCCTTTTCATTCATTTCCTCCTCCCTGCCCCTTGCTCCTGCAATTTTTAGTGTATGGTTATATGTTTTAATTCTTTTCTTTTTTTTTTTTTCAGCAGTATTTCATTGTTCAAAAGATGGGAGATGTTAGCCCTAAGATATCAAAGTTGTAACTGTCAACATGAAATTATTTCCTAACAAAACTATTATACAGATTACTAAGTTAAAATTTGATCTTTATAGGTATATGTAGCAGTTCAATGGTGATGTGTTGAATTTTGCCTAATTATAACTTAAAGATTTTCCCTCATTTCTGCTGTAGATGCTATTCCAAGTTCAGATCAAATTCGAATAGCACCATCATTAAAAAGCCAAAGAGGATCAGTGTGGACAAAGACAAAAGCAGCCTTTGAGAACTGGGAAGTAGAGGTGACATTTCGAGTGACTGGAAGAGGTCGAATTGGAGCTGATGGGCTAGTATGATCATTTCAGTTACTTAGAAAATATTCATGCTTATGCTAGCATAATCTACATTGGTATAAACGTACATACCACTGCCTTGTAACTGTTCCCTGTTATGTATTTTCAGGCAATTTGGTATACAGAAAATCAAGGCTTAGAAGGCCCTGTGTTTGGATCAGCTGATATGTGGAATGGTGTTGGAATATTTTTTGATTCTTTTGACAATGATGGAAAGGTATATTTGTTACCAGAAATGCTACCCCATGTTAATGTATCTGCTAGTAAATTTAGCTTATGAGAAATACAGCTTGACTGACACTCTGATGAGTTTAATGGTAGAGTATGCCTCAGGCAATAGTTAGTCTCTTTTTAACAGAGAATTTAGCAGCTAAGAGCTATGCAGACAAAGTTCTTCATACACAAACTTGAAATCATAATGGAGTCCTAACTAAAGCTTTTCAGTGACTCACCCCCTCTACACCACCATTACCCTGTATATGTTTAGTAATTATCATGGATAAGCGTGAGTCTTTAGATGTATTCAAGTGCACAATTACTACTAGCTCATATTCATGTCTTTTCATATATTAATCCCTTTTTTTGATCAGGCTAATTTTTCTGATGATTTCTCCTAATAAAACGTATATTGGAAACATTAATTTCGGGGTTAGCAGCCTTAAGACTGATGATCTTCTGTTTAGCTGGTTGTTTGTCTACTGGGTTTTAGAGGCCATTGTTAGCAATTTAAAGAACTTTAGTAACCATGAATGCCAAAATCCTGTTACGTTAAATTTTTGAGTCTAGAAGCTTACCCATGTAAGAGACCTCACAGTGTATAAGAATGATCTATAACTTTTGATTATGGACTTTAAAACAAATGCGTTCTTTTTATTTTTAGAAAAATAATCCTGCTATAGTAATTATAGGCAACAATGGACAAATCCATTATGACCACCAAAAGTAAGTTTGTGATTTTTACATTATCTCTCATTTCAGCTTCTCTTTAGAAACTCTGTGAAATACAGTTTCACATCTGAACACTGAACTAAATCTAAACCAAATGAATTAAGATTATTCTTTTTTGTGAAATGTCATTTTGTAACTTAGTGAAAAGGTTTTACTTGAGTTCTGTCTTTAAAGTTCTTCCTGTGAATCCCTTCAAACATAAAGATTTCAAACACATAAACTATATTTTTATTTAACTTAAAATTCTGTAACACTTTTAAAGATATGTAGAATATTGCTGGCTCTCCATGATGGCATTAGCCATGTTTTTTCATCTTTACTAAAAGAGGTCTTTCAAAAATAAAGGTTAACCTCAGCCAGACTAATGAGTGACACAACTGATGTTACCTTATTCAACCTTAGTATTGCTTCATTTAAAGAAGTGGATGACAGAGCTTCTTTATATGTGTAAAGTGCATGGATTAGGAATGTCCTTTTTTTTTTTTTCCACATTTGTTGTAGAGGAATTATCTCTTACCCAGTCAGTGAATCATAAGAAAACTTCCTTGTTCATGCCCCAGGTTACTGTTTTCTACCTTGGTGATTTTCAACCCTGGTAGTCACAACTCCCTGTCTAAAATAGAGGTGCCTAGGCCTTTTGCCTTCTGTTCTGCTTCAGTGGACTTGGAGTCAAGTCTATGGATCTGCATTCATTAGAGCTCCATGAATGATTTGGATTCTTCCCTGGTGTGGAAGACCTGGTCTCATGTACAATAGTATCATTCTCCTGCCATTAACACGTGGTGACCTTGGTTCCTTGTGTCACCCATGGTTTTCACAAGAAAAATTTCTGTGCCATCCTTTGTGTCTTCTAATAAATAACTTGAAGTATCCTAAGACTTGGTCATAACTTGGTATTATTTAATCTTCCTGGATTTTTTTAGATGTTGAAAGCTTTCTAAGTTTCTGTGTGTGTGTTTTCTCTCATACTATAGTGATGGTGCCAGTCAAGCTTTAGCAAGTTGCCAGAGGGACTTCCGTAATAAACCCTATCCTGTCCGGGCAAAAATTATATATTACCAGAAAACACTGACAGTAAGTAGCAGTAATCAAGTGAACAGTATTGTAGGATGGCTTTTCTTTTAGAAATTTGAATTTATTCACATATTCTTCAGTGTTACTCTAAAGAATAGACGTGGCTTCAGAGCTAGTGTACGTGGGCATCTGTTGCAAAACATTGCAAGTAGGTTTGCATTTGGTCAGTAGATGTTTAAGCATCTTGCTGTAGGCCATATGTTCTATCTACATCCAAGTCCTCGGATATGAATATGAGTAAGACAAAGGTCATTCTCCTCAAAGAGCTTATAGACTGATAGATAGGGCACACATGTTCCTATGCAGTGTGACAAAAGCTCCAACCCAGGGACTCTTATAACCCTGTGAGATGGAGTAAGGAAGGTCAAGAATAGTTTTTCAAAATTAAGCTGTGCCTTAAAACAGGAGCGGGAAGTTTGGGGGTGGAGGTGGGGTGTGTGTACATGTATTGTAGACACAGAAAGCAGGCATAGGGCCTGGAGGGAAACTGAAATATTTGAGGGAGGAAAGTAATTCAATATGGCTTGAAGATAGAGGAAATCTGGGACAAGAGAGATAGACATTGAAAGGTTGGTAGTAACAGGCCTTGCATGGGGTGTCCTTCAGTTTATCCTAAAAGAAATTTTAACAAAGTTCATAGTTTTAAGTAAGAAGTGAAATAATCAGATTTGTAACTTGAAAGAATTTGACTTAGTTGTCAATGTTCTTAAAATTGTATTTGTGAAAGGAAAAATACCTAACCTCTAAAATGCCATGCCTTGTGTTTTGTACTTCATGTGCAGTTTTTCAAACAGCCCTGTTGAATAGGCATCTCTCCATTGTGAATGTGGGGAAGTTGAAGATGGGAGAGTCTAAATAACTTGGACATTATCATATTATGTAGCTAACAAAACTTTGATTTGAACCCAGCTCCTTATTAGCTGTAAGACCCCACTTGTCTGAAGTAAGGTGGTGGCAGAGGGAAAATAGAGCAGAAATAAAGAGCATTGTCACCTTTGCTCTTTCTAGTAACCTACGAGAGTCCAGTTACCCCACTAATTCATAAAGAGGAGCTTGTCTTGTTGAAATAATCTGTTTAATTCTCAACCAGCTATAGTTAAAAATAAATTTAACCTATTAATTTTAGTTCTGCCACTTAGGGTTTCAGAAGAAGTCTGATCTCTCTTCTATGTGAACCATTCAAAGAAGGTGAACCAAATTGCATTTTAGAAAGATTTTTATGGAGATTGTCAAATTTTTCTCTTTTTAAGCCTTTAATACATAGTGAACAAGAAAAAGACCATCTTAAGAGAAATGTCTTATAGCATAATGATACCAACTAACTGAGATTACTTTAAATTAACCTTTATAATGATAAAAGGATGCAAGATTGAAAATTATTAGCCATAAAATTTGACTAAGTGAAATCCATTTTATAATGTCTGTTTAAAAGCTGTAACTATAGTATATCTTTCTAGGTAATGATCAATAATGGCTTTACACCAGATCAAAATGATTATGAATTCTGTGCCAAAGTGGAAAATATGGTTATCCCCCATCAAGGGCATTTTGGAATATCTGCTGCCACAGGGGGTCTTGCAGGTAAATCTTGCTATCTTTTAATATTGAAAGTTTGTGAATTGAGTTTTATTGGTAATAGTGTATTTGGGGATTTGTGGACTTACTTAAAGACTATTATAAAAAGACTTATTTTAAGACTTATTTTAAGACTATTTGGAACCTTCCCCTGGTTGTTGTTACATTCGTTTGCTGTGTTCGGACTGTTGATTCTCTCCTATGTGGTTCTGTAGGTATACAGGTTCTGTAGGAGTACGTACAGATGAGTAAATTACAGCATCAGTTTGGGTGCTATTTTATAGCGAAAGAGGCAAATATACTTAATGTCGAGACCATAAAAGGTTAGATGCCAAGTGTTTTAGGATCCGGAGAGTAGTCACATCACATATAAATGAATTTGGCTACATAAGGAAATGTTATTTGATGACCAAACGCTAAACAAAGACACAAGATAAATGAAGTTGATAGGATTTTGTGTTTCTATGATGCATTATAGTTTTTAAGTGCTTTCAAATATATGGACTGTTCTGTACAACCCAGGGACAGAGGAAGGAGAGATCATATTTTTCCTATTTTTAGAGGAGTTTGCTAAAGCTTTGATGAAAGAGGTGTCTAAAGATCACAGTCATGGTCAGTTCCAGGAAGAACTTGGTCTGGATTTCTGATTCCTACCTTTTATGCCCTACATTTTTTCTTCAAATTACCTAATCTATACTACAGTATTAGAATTTTCTATATAATCTTTCTACATCTCCAGATCTCCGTAAGAGTGGCAGATAGTGCAAAGATTACTGCCCTCTTGACATTAATTGTTCTTGGCCTGTGATGTGACGAACCCAAATTAGTATTTTAGTTCAATTAGAGGCTCCATCTGCTGAGTCCCTTTCTTTAGATGAAACAACTTGAAATTAATTTGATTTTGTATGATTTTAGGTAAAATAAAATAATTATTATCTTTCAAGTGAGGAAAGTAAACATGAAAGGCAAAAAATGGTGTATGCCATGAGAAAAATTCAGGTCAGACAATGAGAGAAATACATAAACAGTGTTTCATCTTATTTGACAGGACATTATCCATTAAGGACCTTGTGGGAAAATATAGGAGGATCTTAGTGCCAGGATTAGGAATTTGGGCTTGTTGTGACCCTTACCAGACATTTATTAAACATCTGTTATGTGTTAGAACACTGAGACTTCTGATTTAGGGTTTGAGAAAGTGAATTTAGACTATTTCTGGTATAAATCTTGGCGATGTTGTGTCTAAGCCCACAGAGCTCCATCGCCACTAGAACTAATTGATTGGTTTTTAAAGCAGTAAATATGAAGTAAGCTCACAACTCTAAAGGAGTCTGTTACAGAACTTTCTCACTTCTTTTTCCTTTTCCGCAGATGACCATGATGTCCTTTCTTTTCTGACTTTCCAATTGACTGAACCTGGAAAAGAGCCAGTAAGTGCAGACCGTGTTTTTTCAGTGTATTTTTAATTTCCAGTGGTATTGCCTGGTGGCTAACTGGGAAAACTGACCTAGGTGTGGGTCTTGTTTCTTTACCTACTGTCCTGGTCATGTACAAGTTACTGACCCTCTGTAGTGTGCTGTTTCTTCATTGGCAAAACAGGTGTTTGTCCTGGCTGCCTCATGATGTTGTAAAGATTAAATGAGACGGTGCACTTACGGCAAGTGCTCAGTAAATGGCAGTGGTATTAGTTTTGGTGGTGGAATTTGATTGCTTATGATTTAAGAAAGGAATAACCTTCTAGCTAGTGGTAGAGCAGTGAGCATGAAAATAAGAACATATGTTGGGATGTCTCACTAGTTCTGTTTTTCTGATCTATTCTTAAACTCCAAAAAAGCCTACACCAGATAAAGAAATTTCAGAAAAAGAAAAGGAAAAGTATCAGGAGGAGTTTGAACACTTCCAACAAGAATTGGACAAAAAAAAGGAGGAATTCCAGAAGGACCACCCTGACATCCAAGGGCAGCCTGGTGAGTGGTAGCAAAGCTGATGTTGGTGCTGCAGCTGCAGCCCTGGCTGCATATTGGATGCTCATGTCTATGTGTTGCCTGTCTCTTCCCTGCTCTCTGCAGTGGCACATTCCATATAATTTCTGGAAACAGCATATGAGCAAATCTTGAGTTCATAAGATTCTGCACATCTTAAAAGTGAGAGTATGTCTTAGTGAAATGTGAGCAGAGTCCCATGGTTATGTGGATGAACAGGGAGCCACTAGAATGGGAGCTCCGCAAGGATGAGGACTTTGTCTTCAGTGCTGTGCTCTCTAAAGCCAAAACAAAAATCGTGACAGTGCACCCTAGTAGCTGAGGCTTAGTAAGTATTTGCTGAATGAAATCATCCAGGGTTTATGTCTCTCCTTTTGATGGTGTATTTTCCTCATTAACATAGAGATACTACTTGAAAACTATCCAAACTGTTGTGAGGAGAAAGTGAAGTGATAGCTGCTTCTCCTCTCTTACTACTAAGAATCCCAGACTTTAATGATTGAAAAATTTAAATTCTAGTCTAAGCCAAGTAATTAAGATATCATGTGTTACAATGTCAAAAATCCAACATGTTATGGCCAAATATAGTGACTTTATATTTTCTGCTAGGTTTTTTTTACTTGGGTTGTTCCCAAGAAGCAACAAATGATATACTTAATAACGCCTGTCCGTAGCCTTTGAGCATTGCATAGTGTATTGTTCTGTAGTGATGAATGGTATGATTCATAATTGATGAAGGTAAAAATGAAATACAAATGTTTTCTTGAATTTGTTTCAAACATTACATGATTTGTAATCATATTCTGAAGCTGATTGTACTAAGCATGTGAAGAACAGAGCTTGGTGAATTTTGGCAAACGAGCACACCTCATCTACCCATCATCCACCCAAGATCAGTGTGCAGAATATTTTTATCACCCAAGAAGTTCACTTCTGGCTCCTTCCAGTATAAAACCCCCTCTCCACAGAGCCCACCACTCTTGATTTCTAATACTTGAGATTAGTCCTCCCTAATAAAACCACACACTATTATGAATTAAAGAGAAAATTACTTGTAAATGAAAAAGTTCAGACCTTATTTACAGCCTAGAGATGCTAAAAAATAAATAGTAATTTTGTCATGATTGAATTAATTATCTGCATATTTACTGTTTAGGAGATTATACCACTATGTTGCTAATGTCCTAATTTAGGCATATTGTGGCACTTTGGTCATTTACAACATTTCAAAACCACATACCTGTAGGTGGTTCTAATAATTTTAATTTGCAATATTTTTCAGCGGATGACATATTTGAGAGTGTAGGAGATCGTGAGCTAAGACAGATCTTTGAAGGACAGAATCGTATTCATCTTGAAATCAAGCAGCTGAACCGGCAGTTGGATATGATTCTTGACGAACAGAGAAGATATGTCTCTTCCCTGACAGAGGAGATCTCTAAAAGAGGAGTGGGGCCCCCAGGGCAGCACAGGCAGGTGCGCTTTCAGAACCCACAGATGTGCCTTAGTCTCTGCTGGAAGGGAAGTAGAAGAGAAAGGCTACTGTGTTCTGTGTTCCCATAGAATGTGGCGTATTGAGCCGGCTGGTCATCTTTTTTTCCTCCAGATCGGTCAACAAGAGCTGGATAATGTTGTGAAAACTCAGCATGAGATTCTGAGACAAGTAAATGAAATGAAGTAAGTATATAAAGTAGTGTTTCTGTTACGTGATACACTTATCCTAAAGAAAAGTCTGCGTACACCATATTATTGTAATCCTCTGTGAGGGTAAAAATCACAGTCTGGTTTCATTTTTATGAATGGAGGGATATAAATGCTAGAATCTTTAATATTTAAAAATTGTAAGCTCCTAAATTTTAAACTGTTTTAAGCTGAAAAAGACAAAAGTAGAAACAAATAGGTTTGTTGTAGTTACTTGATAGGGCCAGGTTGTATGCTTATATTTAGAGAATATGGAGTAATATGTAACAACTCTATGAGAAATACTAAGGGAATATGCCATTTGGCATTGTGTAACTACAATACAAGCAGACTTGATGCAGGAACTTTTTTTTCTGGTCCTGGGGCTTGAACTGTGGTTGCTAGATAAGCATTCCCTTGAGCTACACCCCCCAGCCCTTTTTGCCTTACTAAGTTTTCCCATAGGGTCTTGTGATCCTCCTACCTATGCCTCCTGAGTAGCTGGAATTACAGAGGTATGCCACCATGCCTGCCTTATTCTTTGAGATAGGTGTCACTAACTTATGCCCAGCTGGACTTAAACTGCAAACCTCTTAGTCACCTCCCAAGTAGCTGAGATTACAGGTGTGAGCTTCTTTTCGATGTCATGAAACTATTTTTAGGAAAGATATGTGACAATCTCTTTCATTCCCATCTTGTATCCTAAGAGAAACTGATCAGAGAGTTTGAGCAGAGAGAAGATATTATGTTCATGGAATGCTGAATTACATATTTCTAAGAGAATGGTTCACTCATGCAGCTAGTTAACATCTTTCAATGTCTGGAGCAGAGAAAACAAGCCAAAGTGTCATGTTTCCACAAGTTAATCTTTAGAACACTGCCTCATTTGGTACAACCCTTGACAGATGAGAAGGTAAAGATCAGTTCTTTAAGGACTGGAAAACAAGCAGGACAAGAACAGAAAGTGATGCCACCTGGCATCTAGAGCTGAAAGGCACTCAACTTATAGCTGAAAATTTGTATTTTTCAATTTTGCTCTTTGGCATTTAAAAAAAAAGCTTTCAAATTGTGAACCCATGATCGCCAAATAGTTGAATTACTCAAATAGCTTAACTTTAAGTGAATAAGTAACATACCATTTTAAAGAATATTTTTATCTAATTTTAGATTTTGATGGCTGTAAAAATAGTATAGGTTTCCCATCTTTTACCTAGTTCTCCTAATGGTGATGAACATTTTGCCAAGCCAATCTTCTTTATCTATCTCACCAAAAAGTTCCCAAACTTAAGGGTAGTTCACCACATAAATGTCAGTAACAGGAACGCGTTGCTGCTAATGGAGCTTGTGAAGTACAGCTAGGTGAACTGAGTTGGTATTTTCAGGTAAGTTGAACTTCATATTCATTCCTTTATTAATAAACAGGCCTGTTACATTTCTGCCATTACTAAAGTATTTGTTATTCTTAGTGCCACGCCAGAGGGCCCACTCAATGGTAGAGCTCTTTATTTTTATCTGAACAATGGACATTATATTCTGAAGTCAGATGTAAGATGAAATGTTGCATGTAGTCAGAATTACCCTTGAAATGATATCACATTGAATTTTTTTTTTGACGGTGGTACTGGGATTTGAACTCAGCTTTATGCTCGCTCGGCAGGCACTTGTACCATTTGAGCCACTCCACCAGCCCAGGATACAGCATTGGAGACAATCACGCCATCCCTCAGTTTAATAGACATCCTGCTTTTTCTTAATATTGGGAACAGATAGGTGTTTGGGGTTTTTTTTGTTTGTTTGTTTTTGGTTGGCCTTTGGTTGAAGCACTAGGTTTGTATATCAGGGGTCATTTGATATACTGCTGTGAGGCAGCCAGACTGGTGGCTCATGCCTATAATCCTAGCAACTGGGAGGCTGAGATCAGGTGGATCACAGTTCTAGACCAGCCTGGGCAAAAGTTTGTGATACCTCATTTCAGTAGGTAAAAGCTGGGTGTGGTGCTCATGCCTGTCACCCCAGTGAAGATAAGAAGTCTAAAATTGGAAGATCATTGTCCAGGCAGCCTGGGCAAAAAGTGAGGCCCTCCAAAATAACCAGAGCAAAAAGGGCTGGAAGCATGGCTCAAGTGCTAGAGTGCCTGCCTACCAAGTACAAATCCCTGAGTTCAAACCCCAATACCATCAAAAAAATACCACCTATGGAAAGAAATAGGCACATTGGTGTTTGAGAGCATCCAGACCCTTCAGATTCTATGATTTGCCAGAAAAACTTACAGAACTCAGAAAAGCTGCTACACTCATGGTTATGGTTTATTACAACAACAGAAAAAATAAAGTAAAATCAGCAAAGGTAAATGGTACAGAGAGATTCCAGAAAAAACAGGAACAGAATTATAGTTCTCATCTGGCTCACAGACAGTGCAGGCTGTCCCCAGTTTAGAATAGTTCAACTTACAATTTTTGACTTTGCCATGGTTTGAAAGTCATATGCATTCGTTAGAAATTGTTCTTCAAATTGTGAATTTTGATCTTTCCCTGGGCCATAATATGTGGTATGATGCTCTTGCAGTGGCATCTAACCACTGATCCCACTCAGTCATGAGAGTAAACAAGCGGTAGTCTATAATACTGTGTTCTAAGCTGTGATGTTCTCTAGGCTGAGTGTTTTACATGGATCTTAACATACTTTCAGTTTGCAAGAGTTTATCAGGATGTAACATCTTCAAACATAAAGTATCATTTGTGGTTCTCCCAACAGCAGTGGGAACACATGTGCAAAGTGCTGTAAACCAGGGAAGCTCACCGAAACCTTGGTGTCCAAGGTTTTTATTAGATGTCATTCACATAGGTGTGAAGCACCCACGTGGCTGACTTTAAATAGTTTCCAGTCCCCCTAAAGACCTAGGCAGACAAAAACAGATAGTAAATCACAGTGTTTGCACAAACTCTGGCCAGGACTGAGGCCCCAGGTGTACAAAGCTACTGCCATCAGGCAAGATATTCCAGGGGTTCCCAGGTCATGTCCTGCAAGCTGGTCAAGGGCATCCTGAAAACCTTTGGACTGTACAGGGTTTAGACACCCCAGGCCTGCTGAGTAATCCTTTACTGTGGAGCTTGAATATCTGGGAGATTTCTTACTACTTTATTAAATAGTAGCATCCATTATGTTATCTGTATCCACTTACACTGTTGTTTTAACATAGATTATTTAGTAGCAGTCTCTATGTAGGTATTTTTGGGCAACCTTTAGTGAAAGACAAAGGCAGAATGCTAAGTTGTAGTTTTACACAATATTTCCCAATTTTGAAGACAGTTCTTTTAAGTATTTTATTTTGTTTTGTTTGTTTGTCTTGTTTCATTTTTTGAAACAGAGCCTGGCTATGTAGCCCAGACTGGTTAAGGTTGGTCTCAAACTCTCTATCCTCAGTCTTTCAAATGCAGAGTTTACAGGTGCACCACCACACCTGGCTTCTGTTTTTGTTTTTGGTCTTACTTCATTTTTTAATGATCTAATATTATTGAACTTTAAAAGGTTAGCCGTTTGAAATCTGTGTCTAAAAAAGAATCATCTTTATAGTGATTTCATTATATAAAGGGATTTTCTGTTTTAGGAACTCCATGAGTGAAACAGTCAGACTGGTCAGTGGCATACAGCACCCTGGCTCTGCAGGAATCTATGAGTCAACACAGCACTTTATGGACATCAAGGAGCACCTGCACGTAGTCAAGAGGGACATAGACAGCTTAGTGCAGCGGAATATGGTAACTTGGTTCTTTCTCCTTTTATATTGCCATGGTCATCTTTAGAAAAGAAAGAATTTATATTCTGCTTTATTCTACTGGAAATACATTAATGTTTTAGTTAGTGCTAATGTTCAAGGAAGGATTGTCCCACACGTTCCAAGTGTCCACATTTTGGCTTCCTAGTTGTTTAAGGTAGAAGAACAGTTCCAAAGCAGGTAAACCTTGAGGAGCAGAAGCAGGAGGTGGAGTGCTATATGTAGGCTTCATATAATGCTTTAATGAAAATGTTTTCTGAGTCCTGTTTTAATATCTTCTCTGATCCACGGTTTTAGCGTATTTCCCCCAAAGTTCTGATGTGTACTTAGTTTTCTTGTTACCTGTATTTGTCAACAGTCAGGTTTTATGGGATTGGATTTGATTTTTTTCCTCACTCTGCTGGTTGCCTTGTTCAAGACCTATTTGGAATATGTTTGATTCATATTTCCTGGTCAGTCTTACTAGAAGCAGAACACCCACTCCCTTGTATTTCATACGGGATTTTATCTTTATTTTAGAGCTGGGACTTGACCTCAAGGTCTTGAGCTACTGCTTGTGCTATGTCCCCAGCTCTTTTGTTCTCTTACCTTTGCCCAGCCTGGCCTCTAACTCCACCTCCCTCCTCTAGCTCCCAGGTAGCTGGGATTACCAGGTGTGTATCACCACGCCTGGTGTTATCTTTTTAAAATCCTTTTAAAAAAAAAAAAGTTTGATGTTCCTTAGGAAACATGTTAGATTAATATGGTAGTAATAAATAATATTAAATTGACTTTCCCAAAGTCATCAGCTAGTGTGTGGTTAAGGGAGAAAACTTAGGCCCTCAACTTTTAATTCTGTTTGCTTTATATTTTTGGACACTGCCTTTCTTAACCCTTTTTGGGAGGCTGTACTGGGGTTTGAACTCAGGGCCTTATGCTTGCTAGCAGGCACTCTCACTTGAGCCATGCCTCCAGCCCAACCATGAGTTTTATTAATGTTTGATATGTATATCTTTCCAGAGTACTAATTTGACTAATTATAATAAGAGCTCTTTGCTTTATAGCCATCCAATGAAAAACCAAAATGCCCAGAACTACCACCATTTCCGTCATGTTTATCTACGATTCACTTTGTCATATTTGTAGTGGTTCAGTCAGTGTTGTTCGTTGGATACATCATGTATAGGTAAGTCTCTTGATAAAATTCAACCTAATGTTCCTGTATCTGTTTCATTTAAAGTACTTAGATTAAAACTTTCAATATACCTATAAAAGTAAATATATACAAAGCAAATACTACTTTTAGGCTTTTTTAGTTCACATTGGGAGGACATGTATAGAGTACATGCTTTTCTTAACATATTTTATGCTTCTAATAGCATTGGTGTTTTAAATCTTAAAGCAATCCTATTTCTTTCCAAAGTTAAGTATATAGAACCTCTCAGTTTTTCTTTCCTTTGTTTTTAGGACACAGCAAGAAGCAGCTGCCAAAAAATTCTTTTGACCACCATTTTCATTTGTGTACATCATGTATGTACGTATGTTCAAAACTGTTGTCTTTTTAGGGAATTTAGGTATTTAAATTACTTCATAGTCTAAATTATTAAATTTTGTATAAAAGGACTGTTTACACATTGATTTTCAGTGAGAATAAACCTTAAAGACAACCACATGTAAATGTGTTCATAGTTCATAAATGTGTTTGAATATCAGTGAATTTCTGGTCAGTGGAAAGAAACTATTGACAAGTAATAACAGAAATGGTGATAGCCCCTGCATGTGAGCATTGCGCTAAGTATCCAGTACTGGAAGTTTCTTAGTTGCCCTCCTGACTCCCAAAATCTGAGGTCTAACTAAGAGTTCCCCATCATGCATATTTTGTAAGCAGTCATTTTCAGAGATCAGAATTTCCTGCTCTTACACCCTGCAGTCCTTTAATCTTTATACAGCTCCCTCTGGAATCAGAGAATATTTTGTCTGACAGCTTTGGGATGTTGATAATAGGCCTCAGAATATTTTGTGAAACGTTTTTTGCCTCTACTATATTTCACTTGTATAGTAAATTTGGAGGGAAAACGAAATTGCTGCTTTTGTCTAAAAAATCATTTTGGTGAAAACATTCCTCTGATAATGACTTTAGTGGGTATTCTGCCTGGTAATGTACTCATTTCATGTTGGCCCATATTGAATATCTTCATTCCAATGTTGTCGATTCAGTATTATTAAAATAATTTTTACATGTTTAGTTTAAGGAATTTGTCTCCATTTCATCCAGCATGTAAGTCAGTTTATGCTGCATGTTCTGAAGAAATTTTAAATTCACAAAACCTACCACTATTTTCTGGTTACATTACTCCATGTCACCCAGGGTTAGTGACTACTTGTTTACTCTTAAATCAAGGAGATATTCATGGAAGAAGTTTTAGGATTTTCAAAGGCAAAATTTGAAAAATAGAACTATTTCTGATTTCTTCCTTTTATTGCCAGCTCTAAGGGCATTGTGAAGCACTTATTAGTAAATTTAACCATGAAATGTTAGACTGGAAGATTTTATAGCCTCTGTACATAGTTACAGATATTAAAGAAACCATCTGTAAATGACATTTTTAAATGCAGATTTCATTTTTGTTTTCATAGCTGATGTAGACTTACTTTTGCTGACTGCAAAGTACTTTTCTTACATGTTTTATCTAAAACGATTATCTTTCATTTGCCATAGGATCCAGAACAATCCTGCTTTATAAAGTAGCACTATTGAATTCTTCCAAGGCTTCCTGAGTTTGCTCTCAAATGTCATTTACAGAGTGGGCTCCGACCTAATATATAAAGACATGATGGAGAAATGTGCATTGTGGCAATATCTAACTAGCACTGTGTGTGCAAATAGTCTTTCATTGCTTTTTATGTTAGTGTTTATCCTAAACTGAATGATGACTCTCTGCTTCAGTCAGTTCAGCATATAAAATGGTTCTCTCACATGTTTCTTTTGTAGTGTTAATGTTTTTAAATTCATGTTTCAGAGACAGCATCATCACAGAATTTACTCATATTCCCTGAAAAAAATTAATACTTTCAGAAGAATGTTTAAGTTGTAGACTATGAAACTTGAGAGGTCCTCTTGAGATAAAAGGCTGCCAAATCCAGTATTACAAAGTCCATGGTCACATGTGCCTGAACATGAAAGGAACACAGATCTATGCAGTGCACACTTTTCAGGCTTAAATTCAAGGGGAGTCATTCTCGTCATTTCTAACACAAGTACAGACAGCCGTTATGAAAGAACATGGGCATGAATCCTTCTTTCCTTAATTTGCTCGACAATGACTCAGTAAAGTGCTCCATGCAGGATGTTTGTCTGTACTGTTTGAAGCTTCACTTTCCTCAAAATCATTGACTGAGTACTCATTTATGAACAAAAATGTTTGCTCTGTGGAAAAATCAGTCACTGCCAGAATTCTTTCATTTCTGTACTGTTTTGTATAATTGAATTAATTCACTTCTCGCACACCAGCAAGTATTTTACAGGTGCCTTGGATTAAAACAGAATTCATTTTAAATTTTAGATGTAAGTCATTGTGTTTATAAAGCCATTTCTGATACCCTCAGTTAAATGTACCTATTTGTGTTCTAATTGCTTGACTGTTTTATTCAGTTTGAAACTTTACCATGAACTCACAAACAAAATAACCAGTGTTTTTTTGTGTGTTAAAGATATGTCACCATTTCTAAAAACATGGTCCTTAGACCATTTGCATGGAGTGCTTGTTAAGAATTCAGATTCCAGGGCCCCATTTCAAGCCACCTGCATCAAAACTCAAGGGTGGGGCTTCAGAGATGAGTGTTCAGCAGGTACATTGGATTATTCTGAGCACATTGTGGTTGGAAACCACTACAGTGGGGAGTGGACAAAAAGATAAGAATAGGTGTTTTGTGGTTTAAAACTGAGCTGAGAGCATAATGACATATTTTCATTGTCAATGAAGTTACCAGTGATCCACAGATTCTTTTAGACTACAATTTATTTAATGTTCATTTTACTAAAACTCTTGGTTCATTAGCAAATACTAACTCCAGGTTGTTTCCTGTTCCTCTTTGTTACTCTGGTAAAACTTAAAAGTCATCTGCAGATCTTGGTGAAGCCCACTTGCTAACACTTAATTGCTTTCCCATTAGTGATGTGACATTTTATCTCACACAACTGTGCTTTTTGATAACTTGGGCAAAACAAATTACTTGAATAAGGGATTGCCTTCTGCTTTGCAGAGATAAAATCTTTGTAAAGAATGCAAATGGCAGTTGTGAATATGAAGATGTGATTATATCCCTTTCCGTGTGTTTACTGAAGGGGGTAGTTAACAAATTATTATATTGGAAATTTTTTAATTTATAAGATCGAGTATAAAATCAACACTTGCAACTTTTTAGATCTGTATGTTGCCTGTTTAATATATTTCTTTTATGATATTGCTTAAAGCTTAAAAGGGTTTTCTGTCCACTGTCTGTTTCAATTGGGTAACATTTTGTCAAGTTTTTTTTTTTTTTTTTTTCTGATTGTTATTTGATGCTAGCTGGAATTTGAGAAATGACATTGACCTTATTCAAATAAAGAAATATTTTAGTAAATTTGCTTTTAACTTCATTGATCTCGGGCAATAAGCAGCTATTTGTTTTCCAAACCATCCCTGATTTGTGATCTGTTTTGTTTTTCTGGGTCCTGTGCTCTACCCTATATGACCTAGATGGCCTGCCTCCTGTGCCATCAGCTTATGGGATTGCAACAAAGAAGGTAGACATGACTGGTGAATGGTTCCCCTTGCTGGTAATGAAAAGTACATGTTAGTTAAAACAATGTTTTTGATGTTTTCACCTGCAACAACCAAATGCTGGCAAAAATGCAGTTGTCCTTACTAGTTAGTGACAATTTAAAAAGTTTAACTTTTTTGGCAGGTACCATTTAAGCAGTTGGTGGAGCCACGGGGTCATATAAATACTATGTTTGAATCTGAGCTCTTCCACTTATATAGGTGACTTTTAATGTCCTCATCATACTTATTTCACGTGGTTGTTAGCATGGTAAAGGAGACTTTATAAAGAAGGTTCAAAAAATAGTATACTAAGTTTTTGGACCACCTCTTCTATAAACACAAAGAAATGCTTATAAATGATTTAAATCCATAGATGGGTTTGAAAAAAACTATCAGAAAGAACTTAAAACCTGATCAGGGAGCCTGTGAGGTACAGAGGTGGCAAGAACTAGACTATGTAGGCCTTATACACCGTGACTGGAGGTTATGCTCATTTGGGATATTAGAGACATGGCCTTGTCCCTGGAAACCCAAGGAGACTCAGGCCTGAACCGCTTTAGTGTCCTAAAGTTAGGACCCTGGGAAGCTGCTCCTTTTGTGGGATCTCTTACACTCCAGCAGCTCAGAGAGGACATAAAGAAGCTTCTCTTTCTGAGGTTCTGGGCAGGGAACAAATTTCCCCATAAGAAACTGAAGCCCTGGGCTTATGTTTTATGTCATAGCACACACACAACCTTCATGATGTAGGTTGGAATCCAGGAGGAAGCAAAACAAAAGCATGCATTAGTAATAAGTCCACAAGCAAAGTACAGAACAGCTGTCTTAAATGAGCTCTAAGACATTAGATACACCAAATAAGAAAAATGTAAAAGAATGACAGCAGACAGTAAGTGAAAAACAACACATCCAAGAATCTGAGAGAATAGAACAGTGATAAAGACAACTTATGTGCACTTAAAATGATTTGAAGACTGGATGTTCTTCAAAAGAAGTCAAGGAAGGGATGGGACACTAAAAAATAGAACAGTTGGAGTTACTAAGAACCACCCAAACATCAGATTAATTTGGGTACCAGATTGGACACAGCTGAAAAAAGTAATTGAAAAAATAAGAATGTGCACAGATTAAGATGTTGGAAGTGGAATAGACTGGCAATCAATGAGGTACAACATTTAGCAAGGCTCTGGAAGAAATGGAGAATCATGGAAGAACTTTATAGATGTAATAGCTGAGAATTTTCTAAAATTGATGTAGACACATGCATATCTGGAGAATCCTGAATCTAACTGGTGTGAGGGGGTGAGGGATTAGATGAGCTTCCCATGGAAGATGTTACCTGAGCCAAATCCTAAAGTATGTGTAGACATTGATTAGCCACGCAAATAGTAGGGCCTGCAAGTGAATCTACACCAGGCAAACAGACAAGGTGATGAACAAAAGCCTGGATGTGAGAACCTGTATGCAATTGTTAGGCTGGAGAGTAGAACGAATTGATGGGTGGATCTCAAGTTAAGTGGGCTATCTTAAAGAGCGTAGACTTCTTCCAAAGGGCAGAGATGGGGCATGAAAGTTTTAAACAGACAGGACTTTTGCATTTCAAACATAGCAATCTCTGCTTGCTTCATGGAGAACAGATGGGAGTAGAGTTGAGACTGATGCCAGTTGCAGTGGAAATGGCCTGAAGAAAAGGCCAAGACAGTGAAAAATGGAAAGTTAGAAAATTTATGAAAACAGTAGACATTATCTTAGTTCATTCAGGCTGCTATAACAAAATAACACAAATTAGGTAGCATAGAAACAACAGAATCAATTTCTCACAGTTCTGGAAAGCTAGGAAGTTGCAAGATCAAGACCCTGGAAGATTGGGTTTCTGGTGAGGGGTTGCTTTCTAGATGGCTGTCTTTTTGCTTTGTTCTCACATAGCAAAAGAGGCAAGAGATGGCTTGGCCAGCTACTCAGTGACATTTGATGTTTTCTTTTCCTCTGAACCCCTTTTATTTCCATTGGGTTCTGCTGCTCTGATGGCCTCACCCCCCTTGTTGACTGTGACTGCTCATTCTTCTAGATTCTGCCATTGCCATGTCAGCTCAGTGCAGCACTACCACCACTTCTGCCGTGGTCTGTCACCAGACCCCAGTGCCACTCTTAGACACAATTATAGTCTCCAGCCAGATACGGCAACCACTCCACCATCTGGGTCAGGCACTCTCACTGTTGCCATTTCCCACAGAGGCAATGGAGGCTTCCAGAAGCCAGGCTGTCAGGGAGTGTATTAGAGTTCTAATGTGTGTATAGAATAAGGTATTGTCTCACATGATTATGGAGGCTGAGAAGTCCCAGATCTTCCTGTAAATTTATCACCCAAGAAAGCCAGTGGTGTAGTTCAAAGTCCTGAGAGCTAGAGAACAGATAGTATAGATTCCATCCCAGTCTGAATGCCTGAGAATCAGGAGCGCCAGTGATCAGGGAACTGTCATTGTCCCAGTTCAAGCAGTCAGCCTTCCTCTGGCTTTTCATGTTGGTCAAGCCCTCACAGATAAGATGATGCTTACCACATTGAGCAGGGCCATCTGCTTTACTCTGTCCACCAATTCAAATGCTAATCTGCTTTGTAAATACCCTCACAGTAACACTTAACCAGATATCTGAGCTTGGCCAGTAAAATTGGCACAAAAGTTAACCATCACAGGTAGATTTTGGCCAAATGGAGAATGATTTTCATCCATTGCACGTTACTTCCTGTTAGAAAAGTACTGAAGCAGTAATATGACAGAATTCTCAGTGAGAACAGCTGTTAACATTTAATTACAGGCCCATCTTTATAGAAGATAGTCAAAATGAGTTCATGGGTCCTGTCCAGGGTAATCTGAGTGAAAGACATGACATTCAAAACATCCCATGCCTCTGAAAACTAAGACTTTCAAACCGAGGCAAGCTTATGTGTCTGCTCTGGTTGAGTTTGTCTAAAGACCTCCTTAGCACTTCATGCAAATAGGTTAATTGCAAGTCACCCCACAATTGCTAAAGTTTGCCAAATATATCTGAACTCCAAGCGTGGGCATAGCTCTGGACAAACTGGTCAGCGCTCCCCATATTAGGAAATTAGTCTTAGTCCCCAGCCCATCCATGTAAGAAGGACATGGAAATTTACAGCCACATCATGGAGGCCACCATGTCCTGCTGAGTGTAACAACTGAGTTTCATGCCAACTCACTTCTCTACCAGCACATAAGTTCTGTGACAAAGATGCGGAAAAGGATACCATCATTACCTTGCCGAGAAGTGACATCTATGTTCTGAAGTAGACCAGTCACAAAAGTACTAGCCAGAGATATAATACTGTGGGAATTTTGAAACAATGCCAGGTACAACATGGTTGAATATTACTGGAAGGTTGGAAGGGTCAACGTAGGATACATTTCCTTAAAATGGTCACTTTGGGAGATAGGGTTAAGATGTGTTTGGCACCGATAGTGTCCCAAATGGTCTCACAATCCGTCAGGTTACAACTCTCCAGGAGACGATCTTAAGTCCTGAAATTAAATGAAAATTTTACTGCTGTGATTGCAAAATCACTTTGCATGTCTGTTATATAACCATGTGTTTGTGTGTCTACAAAAATATCAGGCAGTCCTGTACAAATGAATGTGAGCTGAGGGTGTTCAGCTCACGTGACAAACGTGAGCTGTTTGTCTAACTTGTGCAAGACCCTGGGTTCCAACACCAGCACTGCAAAAAAGAAGGAGGAGGAGGAGAGGGAAGGAAGAGGCAGAGGAGGAAATGAAGAAAAAGAAAGAGCAAGAGGAGGAGATGACAAAATCATACTATACATTTAATTTGCTTTGTGGTTTCTATAATGGTCCTATTTCCTGGGACTTTCTCCCCATTTTACACAACCTCTTTCCCCAGTTAGAGTACAGGTTGAAATTCCATCCCAGTGTATCTCATCTTTATTTTTATTTATTTTTGGAGGTGCTGGGATTTGAACTCCTATCTAATCTTTAAGTTATCTCTATATACTTAGCACTTGGTGACTTTTTTTCCTGCCACTGCTGCTGAATTCCATAAAGGTTTAGCTGCTTGGTTACTCCAAAATGTTATTGTGTCATCTGCTAAGAGGATATAATAACTGAGCCAAGACAACCCTAATACTCATAATTTCTTTGGGGAAAGTTAAAAAAATGATACCACAAAGGAACCTTAATTACAGGCCAGAAAAAAAAATGGTAACTTCTAATGTGAAAAGAAAAACCTAAGGTGGAGGAGCTAAGTGGATTTATGTTGTCTGTGATTATCTTTCTAAAATTCAATTCCACCGATGGGATTATTGCTTCTCTAATAAATTCTTTGGGTTAGATGCCATCATATTTTTCAAGCTGAGTAGGTCACAACTAATCAGTGTTTATAAAGGTGATCCATTAAATCAGGACAAGATATGATTTTTTTAAAAAGCACTATAGCTAGTAGTCTTGTTCCTGGGAGCTAGCAAAAAAGGCAGCAAGCACTGTGGCTTTGATTTATAAAGCACTAAGATTTATGCCTGTGTAGAGAACTCTCCAAGTGCCCTACTCTCCAAGTAGTACCTTGATTACCTCCACTAAAGATGAACTGCTTTAAGAGAAGCCATTAGACCAGGTTGCAATGATTCCATTCATTTAGTGTTTCTCAAGATTCAGAACAACTACTTACTCTATGCTGAGTATGATTCAGAGATGGGAATGCAAAAGCAAACCAAACTACATTGGCCTCTCTTGCTAAGCTTACATCTAATAGAGTAGGTAGAAAGCAAACAACTAAATCAATGAAAATATAATTTCAGGTAGAGTTAAGTACTATGAAGAACAACAGAGAAGGACAGAGGAATAGAGGGTGTGGGGTGAGGGAGGCAGGGCATTATATTGTAAGATGGCCAGGAAATTTTCTCTAAGCAGGTGTGTTTGAACAATACTGAATTAAGTGAAGGCGAGCCAAGTAGAGATGGGGGGTAGGAGGGGGTAGAAGAACAATCCAGGCCAGGGGACCCCACAAGGACAAAAGAGAGAAAAAGCTTAGTTCAAGGGACAGTAAGGACCTCAATGTGATTGACGTAAAGCAGGCAAGGGGGATGTGGTAAATGAGGTTTGGCAGGTCAGCAAGAGCCACATCATGTAGGCCTTGTACAGGCCATGGGAAGGGGCAGGGATTTTACTCAAGAACAGTAAGGCGCCATTGGGGGAGGTCATAGCTAACAGTCTTACTGCACAGTTTCTGGAGAATTCATTTCCTTTTTCTGGAGGACTGCAAGATTCTATATGGATTTCTACAAAGATTGTACTTACAGCAGCAAATAGGAGATGTCTAAATGAAAAGGCCATTATAATAAATTGGAGTAAAAAGTGTTTTAAGAAATGATTCTATTTTCAATGGAATTATCTGTTTGGGCTGATGGAGTGGCTCAAGTGGTAGAGGGCCTGTCCAGCAAGCATGAGGCCCTGAGTTCAAACCCCGTACCACCAAAAAAAAAAAAAAAATCCTTTCTCAACAATGAATGGAATTATCTGTTGGGGAACAAATAAGAGATTTGAGTTTATAAAGCAAAGCAATAGTGAGAGATACTCAGTTTTCACACTGGTGTAGTGTAAACACTGCACACTTCATCCCTGAGTTTCTATAATGCCCCCCCACCAAGGCCATATACATGCAGAAAAGGACGGAACAGGGAGTAACTGCTTTACAAAGTGGTTTTGGAGTTTAGAATTGACACCCTCACCATTAACAGTATTTCCTAATTGCTAATAAGATAGAAAATTAATAATAGATTTTGTAATCAAAATGATAATTATAATAAAAATAATTTTTATCCTTATTTTTGTTTTGTTCTTTAAGGGATAGTAGTAATCCTCTGAGTTACGCCCATCAAATCCAAGTTGACTGTGACTTTGAGGATTTCACAGAACTTCAGCAGGTTATCATTTTCTTCAGGAAATTAGTGTTTTCTTAATGCCATGAAACACCTGTCCAGTACTTGCTAAAGGAGAATTTCATGTGCTGAACTGGAAAAAAAAAGAAACAATAGAAACAGAAGGTTAGGACTTTTAATTTATTATCTGAAAAGTTCTATGAGCCCATAATCAGCAACACCCCTCAGTGGAGATGAAATATAGTTTATTATAAGTGGAATTTAGAGGTAATGTTTTTGAATGTGTTAAATTTCAAACAACCCATCTAAAAGTGAAAGTGGCAATAATTATTAATATATGTTCTGAATCAGAGATCACAGAGTAAATTTATATTTCACTCTAAATTGTCTTTCATATTGAGATCATTGGAACAGGATTTTTAAATAGATTAGACAGAAAGCAGACCTTAAAATATATAAAGCAAGCATTTTAGGCAAAAAAAAATGTCCAGATTATATAATTGCATACAATCTGAGAAACGGTCATTATTTTCTAAGTGGGCTCATGCCTTCTGAGAAAAAAAAATGAGCATAGGTTACAAATAGGTCGCCGCTCTTCCCTCCCCCCTCCACCTCCTGGTATGCTTTAATTAGAAACATGCTTGCATAGATTAAAGTCTTAGCCGTACTCAATTCTTACCTTGACCTGAAGAGGTAAAGAGAATCTGCTGTGTTACACTGTCAAAGTTGTATCCAGGTTAAAACAACACACCCAGGAAGTAAATTGTGTGTAAGAGGAAAAAGTGCCCCAGTGTACACTGAGGATCCAACTCACGTGGGTTCAGAGAACTGGAAAGGTCAAACGTCATTTCCAAGTAGATGAGTGGCACTTCTGTGGAGAGGAAGAGAAGATAATCTTCTAGTGTGAAGTAAGGACCACAGATGACCCTGGCTTGTGTATTATGTGTAGGACCCAGTCCCCATGGAAGCAGGACAAAATTCTTGCAAACCAAAGAAACTAACCATTGCCTAGTACTTAAAGTCCAATGAGGCAAAATATGAAACAAACGGATTATTTTTACTTAGTGAAGCATCCTGGATTTTGAGTCTGATTGGACACAGCTGTACCTAAAGACTGGAATCTGGAAATTCTACAATAGCTATATAATCAGTTCTGATTAATTGAAACAGGACTCTTGATGAAACTCTGCTATTTAAAATTTAGAGGATGGGGCACACTCAGTAGTAGAGTGCTCACCTAGTAAGTGCAAGGCTCTGGGCTCAATCTTCAGCATTGCAAAAAAATAATAATAATAAAATTTGGAAATGTGTAGGTAGAGGGGGCAGAGAACATGAGGGGTTTCCTCCCTGTGAAATTAGCTGAATGTGTTCATCAGAAAGTCGTCAGTTGCATGTGATCATGGGTTTTAGCAATCGGAGCCATCTGCCTCTACACTAAGAGTTCACCCTTTAATCCAGCTTATGGCCACAAACCACTCTCCCCTGTCACTATGTCCTTGAACAGAGGAGGCTGGGAAAATCCTTTGCTCCTGAATGTGGGGCTGTTGTTGAGAATATTTGAAGGTTTTGTCTTGGCTTTTGGGTTAGTTTTCATTTTCTAGGACAGTGACAATGGCTTTCTTTGTGAAAAATATGATAAGTAACCAGGTAAAGAATTTGGGACTTGGAGGTGGGTCTGAAGAAAAAAAAGAAGAAGGAGGCACCTCGGACCCCGCCGCAGCTCAAGGGATGACTAGGGAGGAGTATGAGGAATACCAAAAGCAGATGATTGAGGAGAAGTGAGTACCCACCACCTCAGCTCCCTCCAGGCCAAGGAACCTCATTCTGACCACACCACCTCCCATCCCCCAGCTGAGTGCATTGTGCTTTTTAGGATGCTTTTTGTTGACAAGTTACCTCTAACCCCAGGAAAGTTTGTTCTGCTAAAGTGATTGACCCTTAGCATCAGCAGTCACTGTGTGATACTTGCACGAATGGAAATGAACAATTGAAAAGGAATCTGTTCTCCATTCTTAACAAACCTAACACATCCTAGTCTCAATTGGCCTCAATTTAATTGTTCAAAGCAAGTTGATGAGTCTACCTTTATATATTAATCATTCTGAAATTCACACTCCTACCAAGTTTTTAAATTAGAAGAATTCAGACTTTATACCTCGAAGAGGGCCTTAAAGAACATCCTATGTAACCTCCTTGCTCTTGTATAAAATGTCCAGAATGCACGATATGATGACTGTCATAAGACATGGCTTATCAAAACTGTGAAAAAAAATTTGCGGACTGCTTATTATGAAACTGCAAAACATACAAAAATGTAGAATAGTATGATGACTACCCATATACCCAATGACAGCCGTTAACGTTTTGCCATATTTGCTTAGAAATTAAATAAATTATCATTTTAGGTAAATTATAGATATGATAGTTTGCCCCTAAATATTTTAGCCCTATACTTCTAAAAATAAGAGTATTTTCCTGGGTATATAAAATTCAATCAAAGTAAATATAAAATATCAACAACAGTTTGCTTGGGTGTTGGGGAATGTGAATATCACAATATTTTGTCACTTCTCAAAGACTGAGTTTACGTAAGTGTAATCTATGCAAAATTCTTAAAACCTTAAAGTAGAATTAATTTAGAGTCAATAATCATTTAAGAATTGAAGTGTTGGATTTAGTAACTCAATTAAGAATTAAATTGTTGATGTGACTCAGTGGTAGAGCACTTGTACAGCATGTACGAGGCCCTGGGTTCGATCCCAGCATTGCAAAAAAGAAAAAATAATGCAAGTGCCAATCAGTATTTGTGAATATAATTTGCTAATGATCAATTGTATAATAGTTGTCTAAATCCTATCACTAAGATTATTATAGGAGAAAAGGTTAACAACCAGGAGAAAACTAAGTAGAAAGCCTACAATTAGTGGAAACCTTATTTATTGTGTTTTTCTGAAAGAAATCTCTACCTGGAATGCTTATGCTTGGTTCTGCAGCAAAGTCAGTTTTGTTTTTTTTTTTAAAGTAAATGAAACTCCAAAAATGATGTTAGTACTAGAATAAGACTCAGGCAAAAATGCAGCATTTTTTGAATATTGGCCAGCTTTGCTTATGGCACACAAAAGAAAAACAAATGTAGCTTAATTTCTCTACAGACTATGTAAGCTTTTATGAAGATCAGCATATCATTTAGGTATTCTGAAAATGATCTGAAGTGTTCTCCTAAATATGTTCAGAAAACCAGTTTAGTTTGTAGTTTTAGCCAAAAAAAGTCCCTTTTGTCACTGAATTCACATGGCATTCATAATTGTTTTCCTACAATGAATCTAAATTACTTTTAAAAAACCATTAATTGGCTTCTTGGTTGGATTTCAGGTGAGATGTGTTTATGACGAAAGTACTTCAAATTTGAATTTTCCAATATTTGTTTTTTAATATTGAGAAGTGCTGCATTTATATCTGCTGGTTTAAATTCTGCCATATGTCCCTTCCAGCCTTTTAGTGTGGTAAATTTTTTTTAACTTTCACTTAAGCATCAGTGATCTGGAGAATCTGGAACTAAGAGCAGTTTATGATTAAATTTTATACCACATCTAAAATGTACCCCAAATGAAACTTAATTTCTCACATACCATGAGACAGAATGACGTGTGTCACCATTTTAAAAAGTGCAATGAATTAATAGAACAATAGCATCATACATCTCAGCTCAAGTCTGCTAATGAATATGGCCAGAAACTTACACTATATACCTGATCATGCAAAATATCATTTAAGTTTCCCAAGCAATGAATCTGGTCACAGATAAGGCATCTGTCTGATGAACTGATGTCCTAATTTGCATTAATTGTGTATTCAGAAAGATCAAAGGTCAAGGTGGCCAAGTGGTATTGTCCACCAGTAGATGGGGTCAGTCAATGAGTGGCTCTTTGTGTGTGAGTGAGAATGCTATAAATTTATGTTGTGGCCGAGTTTAAGAAATAGTAATGACACAGTTGCTGCTTCCTCATGGCAAGAGGTAGGACCTCCAGACCACTGCTTGAGTTTGAAAGGTTCATCACCTAGAGTGAGATTTAAAAAAAGCAGGAATCTAAAATGCCTACTAATGGCCAGGTGCAATGGCTCAAGCCTGTAATCCTAGATACCCGGAGGCAGAGATCAGAGGATCACAGCTCTGAGGCCAGATCAGGCAAAAATTTAGTGAGAACTCCATCTTAACCCATGGCTGCGTGTGGTGGTGTGAGCCTGTTACCCCAGCTGTGCAAGGAAGCACAGACAGGAGGTCCAGACTAGAAAGGTCTGGCAGCTTGGCACAAGTGGTAGAGTGCCTGCCTAGCTGTGTGAGACCCTGAGTTCAACTCCTAGTACTGCCAAAACATGGCACTAACTATAAGTTAAATGTAGAGATAAAGGTAGTACAGTATATACAACAATTCAGATGAACATTAGCGAATAAAAGGCTCCTAAACCTATTCTCAGCATTTGGAGAAAGTAGTGAGATTGACTCTAATTGTAAATGAAAAACAACTTACCAATGCACTCTACTGCACATTTTCCTGCTGTGTTCAGATTTTTCCCCACCTCTGTTATGTCAGTACAGAAAGAATTCTATACCTAAATAGGAGACTTAGAAAAGAAATCTTTGGAAAGGAAATCAAACGAGAGCTTCTTCATCCCTCCATTTTACCCAATTATATAGAAATATTCCTTTGCCTTGGTGATGGTTCAACACATGGTACAGACAATTTGTAACTTGACTCTGAACTCTGTTTCATTCATTAATTGTTTTGACCCCCACTATGGACTTGGCCCAGGGAGGACGGTCCAGAGTGGAAGACATAGGTTTTCTTCAGTAATTTCCACTGTTTGTGGAGGAAACTAGCTTTATGTGCAAGAGCACAGCAACCAGCTTTTCTGGGTGATTTGGATGACTGGAATCCAAGGGCATGGCATGAAGTTCAACAATGAACTGATATAGGTATTTGATTTTCAACAAAGGTGCCAAAGTAACCAAATGGGGAAGGAGAGGTGTTTCCAAAAATGGTCCTGGAACAACTCTAAAACACTTACTTCGATCCCTGCTTTACATTATACACAAAATTAATTTGATATGCCTCATACACTTAAACATAGAAGCTAAAACTACAGAACTTTCCAAAAGACATAGGAGAGTGTTTTTACAATTTGGAAGAAGGTGAAATTTTCTTTATCATGACCAGAAAACAATAACCATAAATTTTTTAAATGATCGACTGTCAAAATAAAAAAACTGTGTATCAAAAGACATTAAGAAAGTAAATAAGCAAAACATAAGACTGAGAGAAAATATTTTCAAAACATTTATCTGACAAGGGACTAGGATCCAAAATATATGAAAAATTCCTACAACTCAATAATGAAAGCAAAACATGGGTAAGAGAATTGAACAATACTTCACAAAAATCATAAACAATAGTGAATTGGGGCATGAAAGAAAAGCCTCGTACTAGATCTAATCATCATGGAAACATAAAATAAAATCACCATTACACACACTAGAATGGTCAAAATTAAAAACACCCAAAATACCAAATGTTGGCCAAAATGTGAAATCACTACAACTCTTGTCCTGCTGAAGAGATGTGAGGTAGTCCATCCAGTTTGGGAAACGGGCTGATCATTTCTTACAAGGCTAAACACACTCAACTGAATTTCCCTACAACCCAGCAACTCCATACCTAGATATTTACCTAGAAAAAATGAAAATATATCTCCACGAAAAACCTTGTTCAAGAGTATTCCTAGTAGCATCATTTACCACAGCCCCAATGGGAAATGACTGAGATACACATCAACAGGAGGATGGGTAGACTGTGACGTATGTGTGTATAGAATACTATTCCACATTGAAGTGGAACCCATTTCTGATAAATAAAAGAACATGGATTAATCTGGGACGTTTTATGCTGAGTGCTGAAGACTTACACAAAAGTATGCCATGTGTGTGGATTCACAGATTTATATTAAGTGTTAGAACAGGCAAACCCCATCTCTGGTGGAGACAGGGTGGAGGCTGCCCTAGGACCAGGGGCGGGTACTGATGAGGACTAAGGATGGGAGAATTTTCTCAGGTAGGTGTAATGTTCTAGATCTTGACAGGGGTTTGGGTTACACAGGTGTGGGCATTTGAGGACATCATCAAATGATACACTTAAGGTCTGTGCATTGAACTGAATGCAAATATTTCTTTAAAAAAGAAACTGTAAATAAGCATAAAACTCTAGTTGCTGTGCACATTGAAGTGTTTTGGGGGAAGTGCACTGACTTCTGCAATTTTTAAATGCATCAAAAAGCAAGATGAATATATGAATGGTTAGAGAGAGGTAAGGATATGTGATAAAACCTTGTGGAGATGCAAAGTGGCAAATGGAGATGGTTGGAATACGGCTGTCACTGTAAAATTCTTTCAACTTTTTTGTGTGTTTGAAATTTTTCATGATATTTGGGGCCCATGGAGGGAAGATATGTTTCATACCCAAGCCACAATCATTAATCTCTCAGACAATTCACTCTATCTTATTACCCTCTCAAAGCTGAAAGGTTGAACACAACATTCTCTCACCCCTATTTCAGACAAGACATTCTGCAGAATTATGACAGAGTGCCTGAGGCCAGGGACAGTGATTTAATCTGATTGCTTCCCTCCTTGCAGTCAGCCTTTTGTGTAATGGTTAAGATTATTTAAAAACTCAGAGTTCAGAAATAGGAACCAATTTTCATCTGAAAATGAAAACAGGGAGATTTATTTCACCAAGAATCAAAACCCTGCCCCTTCCTGATTTATACCACAAAGGTTCCCAGACCCAAGGTGTCTTTGGGAGTTCCAGGTCTGTACCAAATGATGATAGTGGAGCACAAAAGAGGCAGACATTTGGGAGCATAGGGAAAATGTCTCATATTTCCCAGGTGTCTGCCAGTGTGGGAACTCAGGTGTGTCCCAGGGTTGGGCTCCTCTGAGCAATGCCTAGAAGCTTCTAGGCTGTGTATGTACTATGATCCTTTACTAACTTTTATTATTTTATTCTTTAACTTTCAGGATGGAGAGAGATGCCGCATTTACACAGAGAAAAGCAGAGAGGGCATGTCTCAGAGTACACCTCAGGGAAAAGTACAGGCTCCCGAAGGTAAGACACTGAACACAAAACTGCTTCACATCTTTTGTTTGTTTGATTGTTTTTTGTTTTGTTTTGTTTTCTGAGATAAGGTGTCAAACTCATGATCCTCCTGAGTGCTGGGATCACAAGTATGGGCCACCAGGCCAGCTGTCACTTCTTCATTAACAAAAAAAGGAAAACGTTTGATTGTTAGGAAAGGACCACGCTCATGAATGTATCTATCTATATCTATATGTTTATATGTGTGCGCATGTCTTAATCTTAATTTGCATGTTTGATTATGTGAAAAGCATTGAACTAGGAGTTCATAAAAACTAGATTCCAGGTATTTAACCTCTATAAAATTCCATTTCTGCTGCAAAAAGTAACGGATGACATTTTTATAGAAAAACATATCTATCAATCACAAGAGTGACAATAGTCACAGCTGACATTTGTTGAGTTCTTTCTAGGTGCCAGCCACTGTGTCTCCCATAAATTAATTCATTTAGGTCTATTATCATCCATATCTTAACAAAGCATGTAAGGACCCTGATGCCATAAGCTACACAGTCAGGAAAGGCTGAGCCCAGGTCTTGACTCCCTTATATCCTGCCTCTGGGTAAAAGAGACAATCAGTTGGTTCTTTTGGGAGATGACAGAGTAGTGTTGTCACCTAACACCATCTTCTTCATCGTCATCTGAGAAGACAATCACCTGAAGACTCTGGTCCAGGCTGTGACTGTCTCATCAGTAGGGAAAAGGACACACTAACATGTTATGGCACCAGACCCAGAGGTACTGTTCCAGGGTGCAGAGGACTTAGCACTTTGCTACTTCAGCTCATTTTTCATCCCCTTCCTCACCACTACTTGGGAGACTACCCAGGCACTCTAAACACCTCTGTCTTCACCTCCCATAGTGAGTGTTCAATCTCGTATTCCAAAGATGCACTTCCCTTAGGGAACATTTCCATCTGGAGAAACTGAAGATGAAGATTCTTCCAAAGTGCAGGATCCTCGCAAGAATGAGAGCCATCTTCAAGTCTGGGTTGTTTAGAAAGTGCCGCCAAGCCATTCCTTCCATGGGTCCCCTGCAGATTCCTGCAAATGCTGCCTGCAGAAGCTATAAGCATTAAACCAAGGCAGAGCCCACTGTCCATGCAAGGTCACTGCTGAAATCAGCAGTTACACAACCCCATCCTGTGGGAGAGGCTGATCCCAAGATGCCCAAAGAGTACAGCTTGTGTTCTCAGTGTGAGGAGGAAACCTCACAATCAACTCATCTTCCTAGGTAACCAAGAATGGGAAAGAGTGCCTTGCTTTGCTTACACCGCCTCCCTCCATTCAGCTTTGCTACAGTTTCCCACTGGGCCAGCATTTTGGAAGACAGAAGCAATTCTAAACACTGTCTGGTCCACTCACATTGTCTGGTGGATTTCCTGAAACTCCCTGGGATGTCACTGGCTATATCTCCATGGGATCTGCGCTGGGTAGGAAGTCCAAGTCAAAATCATGCTACTGAGTGGAAATCCCTGGCCTCCCCACTTGGGGCCACCAGATTAAAGCAGCACAAATATTGCTTAGGATAAAGCAAAAGTCACACACACACACACACACACACACACACACACACACACACACCCCGTTGGCTGGGCATGCATCTTCCACTACATCGAAGGCATCTTTGAGCCTTTATTTTTTACAGTATTGTGGAAATTGAAGGAGAATTGAGTCTCAATTCTGGCTTTGTAGGTGTGACTCACAGCAACTTCAGATAACTTTTTAAAAGCCTTCAGATGGCCTTAGTTTCCTCATCTATAAAATGAGGTTGATAATACCTAACCTCATCTGGTAAAGCTTTTCCACACCTGGAAAGTGGAAGGGCCTCAATAGATGATAGCTCTGATTTTTGATGCTAGGCACTCGATGGACAAAGGGCCTTATTTCCTGATAGAAACAGGCAGGGTTTGGAGGGCTTGGGGTAAGCACACCTGTATGTGTCATTGGTGGAACAACTCCAGGCCCCAACAGCAGCAATCTGAGTGTTTGATCTTTTCCTTCCCTAGTGGCAAGAAAGCATCTTGCTCGTCTCTAGACCCTGGAGGGTGAACACCATGGGCTTAGCAGCAAAGTTTAGGTGCTCTTTAGAGAAGAAGTAATCCCAGTCCTTTGTGGCAAGTTGTCCTTTGTGGCAAGTTATCCTTTGCAACAAGAGCCTTTCCAACAGAAACTATGAAAAGAAGAATGAGTTATTACCATGAGATGTGCAAATTCAGACAAACAAACCCCCTTCCTTTACTGAGAATGGTGGTGGCCATATCTGCTTAAATTGTTGCTCTCTAAAGTAGGCTTGAAGGAGGGAGGGTAGTTTGCAGGAAGTCTGTAAATTAATGGTGAGCTCAGTAGTTTTCACTGCATAGCTTACCTGTGCCCCTATATAGCTGTTTCAAATGCATAATGCCTTTGAAACATCCCCTGTTTTCATAGACCCTAAAAGAGACATTGAAGTTCTTTTTTTTTATTGTTTTATTATTCATATGTGCATACAAGGCTGGGGTCATTTCTCCCCCCTGCCCCCACCCCCTCCCTTACCACCCACTCCGCCCCCTCCCTCTCCTCCCCACCCCCTCAATACCCAGCAGAAACTATTTTGCCCTTATTTCTAATTTTGTTGTAGAGAGAGTATAAGCAATAATAGGAAGGAACAAGGGTTTTGCTGGTTGAGATAAGGATAGCTATACAGGGCATTGACTCACATTGATTTCCTGTGCGTGTGTGTTACCTTCTCAGTTAATTCTTTTTGATCTAACCTTTTCTCTAGTTCCTGGTCCCCTTTTCCTACTGGCCTCAGTTGCTTTTAAGGTATCTGCTTTAGTTTCTCTGCATTAAGGGCAACAAATGCTATCTAGTTTTTTAGGTGTCTTATCTATCCTCACCCCTCCCTTGTGTGCTCTCGCTTTATCACATGCTCAAAGTCCAATCCCATTGTTGTGTTTGCCCTTGATCTAATGTCCGCATATGAGGGAGAACATATGATTTTTGGTCTTTTGGGCCAGGCTAACCTCACTCAGAATGATGTTCTCCAAAACCATCCATTTACCGGCGAATGATAACATTTCGTTCTTCATGGCTGCATAGAATTCCATTGTGTATAGATACAACATTTTCTTAATCCATTCGTCAGTGGTGGGGCATCTTGGCTGTTTCCATAACTTGGCTATTGTGAATAGTGCCACAATAAACATGGGTGTGCAGGTGCCTCTGGAGTAACCTGTGTCACAGTCTTTTGGGTGTATCCGCAAGAGTGGTATTGCTGGATCAAATGGTAGGTAGATCAAGAGACATTGAAGTTCTAATGTAAAGCTACTGCCTCATTGCAGACCTGAGAAAATTACAGTCCAGGATGGTGAAGTGATTGCACTAAATCCTACAGCTATCGAGCCACAAAACAAGAATTGGAACTCAGGCCTCCCAACCATGAAGAGGAGCAATGTACAAAAGGCTTGCAACACAGTTTCCCGTGTGTCTTAATATTCAAATTGTCCCATTTTAGGGCACTTTTGAACTCAACTTGGTTTAAAACTGTGCTAAGACTTTGGGACAACCTGTACTATCTCAGTATATCAAGGAAATGGCACCAGGTCCTACCAAGCCAGGGAGCAATCTCTTCCTTCTCCTTGTCATCTGGTTGTTTGAACACGTCTGCCTAAATACACAGATGAGAATTTCACTTAAAAGCGTTCTACATATCCTTGTTCATGGCTAAGTTTATTTTCAGAGGACTTCCCTGGGTGGAAGTAGGAGGGTCTTATTATGGTTGAATTTTGTAAAAAATGATTCCATGCACAATGTTTCAGGAATTTTCCTATGGTATGAAAAGTAGTAAAAAATACTTACACTTGCCTGCTTTTTGCAAAGCCATGGAAATTCGAATCCAGCACTGCTATCTGTAAAAACTACATAATAGAAACTGTACGATAAAAAAATCAACCAGATTGTGTGCTTCTTAGTCCACTTATCACCACATGTGACTAAATCCCACAACCCCAGGCAGCACCTTGCACTTCTAGGACAGTCCCACTTTTGGGAGCTAGATGCTGTTTCCTGTCACATGTTCCTCTGCCACCTGCTCACATCCCCACCCACCAACCAGGTTCTGGGTGCAATAAGCCTTCGACCACCCACATTGGGACGTCAGTACCAGGACAGCGGCTACCTCTGCACAGCCACATTCCTGCTTGAGTGAGCATGGAGGGCCCAGCAGCCACCATCTAAGGGACCCAAATCCCTGTCACCCTGCACCCCCTAGTGGCCGTCAGTAGGAGGACGCACCCATGTGGCTTGAGCAGAACCTGGACTGCTGGTCATAGCAGGACCAGGGCAGGGCAGAGATAAATCTCTGGAGGCAAATTTTTTCTCGTTAATGCACATTATTTTGCTGTTAAAGACACAGCTGTCTCCCCATTAAGTAGGATGGTGAGATTTTGAAAAAACAATAATTTCAGACAAGTTGAAGGGCTTGGAATATTCAGCCCTTACAGAAGACTGGGGAAGTAAAGACTGGGCATAATCACCCCCCAGGCCTCAAAGACTTCTTTCTTACATTTAGAAAAGCACACGCCATAGGTGCACACTCATTGCATAATCCTAAAAGTCATGTAAATTTAGGGACTTGCTGGAGGTCACATTTACTATGACAGCAGGGGCTTGAGTCTCCTTTTTCATCCATCCTGTACTTTTGCCTGCCATGTTCTCCTCATACCCTCTCTGAACTGTCTCCTCCCTGGTGGTAGATGTTAGATTTGAGCTCACAATCGAACAAAGCAAATGTGCTGGACAGAGAGTGAAGGTCACCAGGGCATCAGAGGGCCCCTAATGACCTCCCCTCCCTGTCAAGTTTGCAGAATGCACACCTGTGTCATCCTATAAAATCCATGTTGGGTAAGCAGCCATAGCTGTAGTATTAACAGCCTGCAGGGCACTGGATGAAAGTAAGATATCCTCCCATTAATGAGGGGTGACCCCCCC